ACCATAAGCCGACGTTGATGGGAATTAGGCGTGTCGGGGGTCAATTCAGAAGGCAACATATCAATGTTTTGTGGCCGGCCTGTCCACATTAATTTATTGGTTTTTAGCTTGAAGGGATGGGAGCAGACAACATGCAAAGATCGACCCTCAAAATACGGATTCTGGAAATTACCTCAATTATAATTACTGCTACTAAAAATAAAAAGATAGGGTATAACCGCTTGCGCAACGTCATTCTTAGCTAAAGTCTAACATAGCCATACGTTTTGTCGCGAAATTTCATCAAAAACAGAGTAAATTAGGCCAATGCTGACACCATCAATATGGCACGGAAACTTGAGAATCAGTCCCTGAAAAATCGAAAAATTGCAAAAATCGTATCGTATCTGGATGAAGAGGTGCATTAAAAGCAAATCTAACAGGGAGGTATGAAAACACGTCGATCGCGGAATTTTTTGAAAGCGTTATCTAGCTAGTTTGAATAAATGGTTATCGATGAATTGAAGAAAACACGAACAATACGTCCGAATCCAAGATCTTTTCTGCTCCGAGGAAGTTCTTAGCCGAAAAAACCCTGACCCTCCGCATGCAATCCTGCCTAAATGTTTTCTGGCGTTTAGCCGCACACCTTCACGTTTTTTCCTTATTTCTCTCCGGAAAGAGCTTCGCTCACCTCTGACTCTTCTACCCTTTGACTCCCTCGACATCATCTAGCCCCGCCCTTTGGATCCCGCCGGGATTTGTTTGCCCCCGACCCGGATAATTGTGGGAATCGTCGACACCTTGCCAGCATTCGGGCCGGCTCATCCTTACCCTGGATGAGAGAGTGAGAGAGAGAGAGAGAGATAGAGAGAGGGCGAGAGAGGGTAAGAGAGGAGAGGCCGACTCAAGGATTGGAAAGTCTGGATGTAAATGGCAACTCGCTGCCGTTGGACTCAAGGTCCATTGGAATTCTGAGGTGACGAGAAGCGGTGGGAAGATGACGATCTGCACACGGAATGCAGGAAAAGCTGCGTTGAAAGCCGCTTTTGAACGAAGCCATGTATTTTTGGTTTGTTCTGGTGCGGTAACTAGCAGAGGTAAAAAAATAAAAGGTCAAAAGGGGTGAAAGGTTGAACTTCCGGAAAAGTTCGTGCGCATTATCATCACCTCTTTCACTTTCTCACACTATCTCGCTGTCTCTCTCTCTCTCTCTTTTCTCTCTCTCTCTCTCTCTCTCTCTCTCTCTCTCTCTCTACCTGCCAAAAAAATACATGCGAAAGCAAATTCATTTCCAAAGCAAAATAATCAGATCCAAACGGACAATTTCACCAAAACAGCAATCGAAAACATTAAAATCAAAAACCCCGGAACCTCCGAGCCCTCGGGACAGCTGATTTTTCAGCATCTGCTACGCGGCATCTCGGGATATATATGGCTTCTCGCCGTCCGGTGCGTGTAATAAGTCGAGCCAGAGGAGCGCTATTTTCGGGTAAGGGCCCATCCCGGGCCCTTCCCCCTCTCCGAAAAAGAGGTAGACCAAAAAAACCCGGTATTTTGAATCGTTGCAACGGTAGCCTGGCAAAATTACTTGAAAAAATCCAAGTAAAGCGTGTTTCACGTCGCTAGTAATCCCTTGGAAATTGGGTATCGAGAACCGAGCTGTAAAGTCGATGATCGTGGGGGGGGGGGGTGCGGAAAACAATTTCGCATTTGAAGAAAAACACTAGAAAAGCCTTGAAGCGAAGAGAGAGGGAGGGCAATCCCTAAGGAGCGCTGCTGGTCTCATTTCTGGGCTCATAGATGAGGTCGAAGATCTACCTAGAGAGAGTGAAAGGGAGAAGGTGAGAGAGAGACAGAGAGACAGAGAGAGGGCAAGAGGGGGGAGTGTGAAGGAGAAACGAAATCGCAGAACGAGAAACTATAAATATTTCTTTGAATGTATTAGTTTTATGTCAAATTTGCCTTTTAGAAGCGATACCTACATACCACGCCATCCAAACCACGCCCGGCCGCCGGGAAATGAATTGGGTGATTCTGGAGGGGTGCCTCGATGGCGTTGCTCCCCCCCCCCCCCCCTTCCACCGAAGGGCCATTTTCCGGGAATTAACTATTGGTAGCCGGCGTCGTTTGGTCGTTCCTGGGGAATAGGTATCGCTTGAGAATGAGGGTTTCTTGCTCAATAACGTTTAAAAGTAAGAAAGTTAGGCTTGGGCTTAGGTTTAGGCTCACTTATATACCTACCTGACGAGAGAGAGAGAGAGCGAGAGAGAGAGAGCGCGCGAACGAACGATAAATACAAATAGTTATAGATAATTCTTCCCTGAATTTGCACTCAAAAACGAACTCCCCACCCCACCAGCTGCATTATGTATTCCCCGAAAATGTGCACGCTGCAGGAGACGGGCGGAATTTAGAAGAATAGAATATTTTTAGAATGAGCGCGGGGTTCTTGAATTTGCAGCCACCGACCCGGGCGGGCCGCCCCAGTCTTATTTGGTTAATGACGAGCGGTCCGTTACCGAAATTAAGGGTCCACCACGGCGACCCACCCGTGGCCGGTCAGCCGGAAATAATACGTGTGTTTTAGTGCGTTGAGTCTTCAAGAGGTGCTAAGTTTTATATGAATTGAAAAGTTGACGCGAATTTCCTTGAGATTTTGGAAAGTTGCGTTCATGACGGAGGCACTTTCACAATAATTTTGAAAAAATCCATAAAAATTTGGCTTCATGGTTCCTTAAACGCAGTAAAAAAATAGATAGCATCCTCCCCTGAATAAGGTCAGAGCAAAATCTAAAAACTAGCGTTCTGGAGCCTTTTAGAGGCCTAGTCAAGCCAGGGTAAAGTATGCTCACGCTTTCGGCATGTTTTTATGCAAATTAAGCCCGAAATGGAAAATTTCTGGTTCCCTATTGCATTCAGAACACACACAAAAGAGTTAGAAATTCCTCAGAAACACCCAAATAATAGCCAGTTGTACGAAAGGATGATGCTATCATCCCCGCAGCCTATTTGAGCACATAATTACGTAATAATTCAAGGGCGTCCTTGTCAAGTGAGAGAGAGAGAGAGAAAGAGGGAGAGAGAGAGCACCCGATAAAATTGAGGACGTCTGAGAGAAGCCGGGGCGTAATGCGTGAACAACACGACCCGAAGGGGCCAATTGCATTAGCACAGAAGACACTTCCGCACACACGTCGAGATGGGTGGAAGGATGGGTGAATTTGCGGGGAGTGGACGGGATGGACTGTGATAAACGAGCCCGAGTTTCAGGAGTGGCGCACAGAGGAAAATCAGTTAGTTTGGAGTCCAAGAAGTTCGGAAAGACGAGCTATCGAAATACTCGGGAAGTGCAAGTAGTGCCATGTATTCCAGCAAAAAAAGCCGGATTGAGAGTGAGAGGATGTGGGAGATTGCCGGGTGAGAGATAGAGAGAGCGGGTGAGAGAGAGGAAAGAGAGAGAGAGAGAGAGAGAGAGAGAGAGAGAGAGAGTGAGTGAGTGAGGGGGGAAGGATTCTCTTCAACGAGGAAAGTTAGCACCAAATTGCGGAAAAAACAAACTAGACCATGCGAGGTCGGCACGGCTTGGGGAAGGAAGCGGCATAGTTTTATAGTCAGGAAAGGAGTCAGACTTACACAATACAATTTTGAAATAGACTAGGCAAATATATGCGTGATACGTGAATTTCATACTTTCATTAGATTATGAAGACAAGGCTTCGAGAGGAAAATTTGCGGTTCAAATACTGTCTTTTGCTCTCAAAGTTTATTTCTTTGTGCGGCATTTCACAAGGATTGCAGAATCCAGATGCAAAAATATATCGGCGTCATGACCATATAGCCTTTCCATCGGACAGGTGAAGCAATGATTGCGCTACATTGGAGGTGGCGCGACGTGGCCGTTGCCATGATATATGAGGTTTTCTCGGAACTGGCATTCCGGAAATGTCAAGATTCTACACCAGGCATCGGCAGGTGAAGGTGCCGTAGTTTCCATCATCAGGTACAGTGACTGTACTTTAGTTGCTAAATTGGGAACTGCTTAGGCTTAGGTCGAGAGAGAGAGAGAGAGCGAGAAAGAGAGACACAAAAAGTGAGATAATTTGTTTTCGGTAGCAGAAACCTTTGAGAAATATATCCTTTTCGCGCCAAGACCACCCTGACCGCTTCCAATATCCTGTTCATTTAGGCGTTAGAGAGGGTTTTTCCGCTGACGAGAGCGAGAGAAAGAGAGAGAGAGAGAGAGCAGAAAGCACCCTTTTTCCTTTTTAAAATTGCACTCAAATGACAGCAAATATTCCAGCCCAAAGCTAGCAAAAAGCCTAGCAAAAACGCCACCAAATGTGCAGGTTTTCTCCCGAAGATCGTGGCTATCCAAAACCAATGCCCGCTGGCCAAAAGCCCCACTCCAGAATGTATTGTGCCGTTTTTTGCGCTCCGCCCGCCCGCGTGCAATTCGAGCCGGCAGCACGGGAATTTGCAAATCTGTGTTTTCCATTTCTAGCCGACCGCCCGCCCGCCGACAAACACTAAATTTAATATTTAATAGCGAATCGGGCGGAGGGTGGGGAAATCGGAGCCGCCCTCGGGCATTGGTGGACACCGTAGATCGGCCGGGTTTTTGGCACGGAGCGTTTTGGACCTTGGAATTTGGGGGAAGCCCAATCCTCATATTTCTGTTCATGCATTGAATCCACCAAACTTTCTGACAAACACTACGTTTAGCTACGCCGCATCAATTTAGACTGTGCTTTTACATAGTCCATACGGTTACGTCTGACCGGCGTATTTTAAGAAAAAAATCCTGAATCAAAAAGAAATGCACAAATCCGTTTATTCCCAAGCCAGAGTGAGGCTGTTTCGAAGACATGAGCAGGTGAAATGAATAATTTTACAAGCTACACAGGAGGTTTTGAAAATTCAAAGTTGAGAAGCTCACAGACAGGAATATTAAAGCTCTCGGTGGATATTCAGGACGAAGATTTAGATGAAGAAAAATTGGAAAACGGGCAGGTTCTTTATTCCTCTTCCTCCTCGTCACCTAAATCAAAAATTTCAGTTAGGCAAGGTAAAACTGACCCTCCTCCTCGCCATCCTCCTCCTCGGGCTCCTCGGGCTCAGCCGGGGGCTCTTCCTCCGCTGGGGGTTCCTCAGCAGGGGCTTCCTCAACGACCTAGAAGGGGTTTTATTAGTTTCGCTTAAGCTTGCTTAGGCTTAGGAATAGGCTTAGGCATGGGCATAGGCTTTACTGACCTCCTCCTTCTTGGGCGCCGGCTTCGGCTTCTCCTCCTGCGCGGGCTGATCCTTCAAGAAACCGGCCTTCTCCTTCTTCTGGAAAAATCGAGTGTTTTTAGTCGTTCAAAATCTAGCAAGGGCTTTCAATGAAGCTAAACTAACCTTGACCAGTTCGTCCAAGTCGGTCTCCTTCTTGACCACCTTGAGGTTAGCGCGGAAGTCGGCCTAAAGGGATAAACTAAAGGGTCAAGACAATCAATATGTTATTTGTAAAGTTAAGGTAAAAGATAATTTATGTAAAGACGTATTTATTAGTTACGTTATGGTCGCCATTAAAAGATCCTAATTAAACGTCTCCAAAAACTTCAAAAACGAACCTTGCCGCCAGGAGCAGCCTCTCCCTTTCCGCTCGATTTGAACTTGTTGTCGTACTTGGAGACCTTCTTGAGCATGGGCTTCACGCTAAAAAAAAAGCGTTCGAAAGCTAGTGAGAGCCATAAAGAGAGAGAGAGAGAGAGAGAGAGAGGAGAGAGAGATAGTGAGAGAGAGAGAGAGGGAGAGAGAGAACGGGAGAGCGGGAGCAAGAGCAAGCTAGGAAAAGCACAAAAATTCTCAACCCACAATTTACCGCGCAGATCATTAACGGCAATGGTCAGCTCGTTGATTTCCGCGTCTTTGCACTTGACCGACTAGAAAACACGAATTACTACAGAGGCATATTGCTTTCAAACCTGGTTAATCTCATACTTGCCCTCCTCCAACGTCTTTAGCCGCTCGAACAGGTCGTTGTAGATCTTCTCGAGTTGGCCTGAAGCGAGATAATTTTAAAGGGATGGAGACACCGGTGAAAAATAGTTTTGGATCGTGATCTGATCAAAAAGAGTACGAATTCAGATAAAACTTTCTAGCGCGATTTTTTTGACAGGTGATGAAAGCTATATAAAAGCTTGCCAGAATCGTTGATGCTGTCCAAGTCTGGGAGGGCGACAATACGAGAAGCAAGGGCCTGAAGGATCAAGATTCCTTTTTCTTTATCTCTCTCGTGCGCTCTCTCCCTCTTTCTCTCTCTATTCTTCTTTGCCCCCGCTCTCTTACCTTTTGCCGCTCCTGCTCCTTCATCAACTGCTGCTGCTTCAAATCCTCGGCCGCCTTCATCATGAGCAATTTCTGGAAATAATTTGCTCTTTTTTCTTTTTTTCCTAACCCTGAGCTTCTTCTTCCTTTCCGGCGTCAAGAAACCCTTCTTCTGCTTCTTGCCGGCCTTGCCGGACTCCTCGAGCCGCTTTCGGACCTCGGCCTTCTTGCGCTCGAGCTCCTCGCGCTTGGCGGCTTTCTGAATGTCTGGTTATTGCTAGAATTTGGGTACTAACGTCATCAGCCTCATCGGCCTGGGGTCCGCCGTAGCGGGGCGCATCCTCGAACTCCATCCTAAAAAAAAGCAAAGTTGAACACACCGGTAAAGCTGCCAAAGTACACGGGGGGAACGAAACCAAACGGCATTGGTCTTGTAAAACTCGAATGAGGATTACAAAAAAGGAAAGTGAGCATTAGAATGCGCGGATTTTAAGGATTATTAGAATGCGCCATTAACATCCAAAAGAAGATCAGAAGCGCTTGGATCTTCTCAGATTTTGCGATAGAAAAAGCCTAAAGCTGTGGTAAACCGATTGGCGTAAAAATGGCGCAAGAAACTGGAGAGTGATTTAAATTTTTTTCCGTGCGGTTTAATCGTTTTAAAATCACATTTTTGATAAAGCTTAGGCATCTAACCTTGGGAAATTGATGTTGGGGCCAAGGTCACCTGGGCTCGAGTTCCGTAGCCCCGGAGCAAAAATTTGGAAATGAAATGATGAAAGATGACAGAGCTGATTAAGTTCGCGATAGTCGAATAGGATGCAGTGGCTAAGAAGCTTAAACGGCCTAAAATTCACTCAAAAACAAAGAAAAGGGCCTGTTATGCTATGTGGAGCTCGGGAGAATGCGCACAGTTGGGTCTCCCTGGCCGTCGGCGGGCCCCCTCCCTTCACGGTATCGGATGTCAACTTTCAAGGTTCTGTATCCTAGACCCCGCAAATCTGCTCGCAACCTCTCACCCTCTCGCTGTCTCTCTCTCTCTCTCTCTCTCTCTCGTTCTCTTTCGCACTCGCTAAACCTGTCACTTCACTGACTGATGGTTGGCGTGGAAAAACATGACAGCCGGAGGAGGAGGTGGCAGGTGATTACTGGTTACTTTGGAGGGATTAGGAAGTTAAACTACAAGAACAAGTAGAAAGACACCTTGATAGATATCCATAACGCATTAATAAAGATTACTACCCCCTTGAAAGTACCCAGTATTCAGTCATTTTTGGTTACTTTGAAATCGTAGTCAAACCACGTGGGAAAATTAGGAATATGCATTAATAAACAATTCCTATAGGCGTTCGCCGACAGCTCTGCCAAATAATGTCCAACCCTCGTGAGGTGACTTTGTTTTCCCATAAACACGATTTATGGGCTGTCCATTATGACTAGCCGCCCAGATGTTCGTGTGGTAGGGGAGGTGAAGGAGTTCGCACGCTTTCAGAAGAGGAGAATAGGTGTAATTGAGGTTTTTTAAAGGCAAAGTGAAGTTAGTTTTCAAGTGCTCATACTCTCGGCAAAGCCCCGAAGAAACTTTTGGAGGGTAAACCGATAAAACCGCGATTTTCTTACCACACGAATCAGAGGCAGGACGCCCTTGACGTATTCTATCGTTAATGCGTATTGTATAACAGTATGGCCCGTTCTTGTTTTTAGCATAAAAATTTTTCTCTCTTGAAGAATGGTATTATCAATTTTCGAAGATAATCCAGGGTTCTCAGTGGTCTCGGCGTCCGTGCGGTAGCTCATCTGGTCATTAATGCATAGACGCAGCTTCTTCTACACTGATTCTTCTTTTTACATCCGGATCTTATAATTTCTGGATTTTTAAAGGCCTTTTTGTAGTCCGTGTCACTCCGCTTTACACTCAAAAATACTCTGATTTTAGTCATTTCCTAAGCTTCGTTACTTCAGCCTTTTTGAATGGTGACGAGGTTCTAAAAAACCGGAAAACCGAAACATGTGGTTTCACCATAAATCTACACAATTTATAGCCCACCGTTCCTCAGGATCCCCTATTCGGAGGCCCCACTTTTTAATGCCCACATTTTATGTTCTCGGGATTTCAGCTGTTGCGTCCTCAGGCCGAGGAGAGCCGAGCCTGATCCCCGGCTGATCGATATTGGCCATTTAGTGGCCCTGGCTGGGATGTAGAGGAGGTGGAGGTGGAGAAGCTGAGACTCGAGAGGAAGAGCCGGGGAGGGGGTGGGTTTTGTTGTAATGCCCTGGAGGGGGACACACCCAGGCGACAGCCCCCGCATAGACACACCCCTGCCAAATGTCGTTTCTGGCCAGGCTGTCTCCAAAGTCTCAAGAAAATGAAAAATCAGGAAACAAACAAGGTCTGGAAAATGGAGAATAAGACCAAAATAGCTAAAGATTAAAGAGAAAAATAAAAACTCTGAACTTTCAGCCGAAATTCAAGTTTTCATTACCAAAAAATTGCTTCTTCCGCTCGTTGGCTGTCTCCAAAGTTTCCAGAAAAAAATAAAAATTAAGACAAAAGAAAAAAGTACGCTCTTTGTCATTTTAAAGGTACTTGCAAGGCCGGGAAATTGCTACGGATGGTCTGTTTTTACAGGTATCATTAATGCGCATTGGATTAGCAGCACAAAAGTTGCTTTTGAATGCAAACAAAAATGTGATTTTTGAAGGCGATCTAATTTCAAATAGCCATAAAGGGAATCCGAATGGAAAACGTCCTTGCAAAAAAGTTCTAAAGTAATTGAGCGGATGACGTCAGCTCATTAAACATACCGAAGTAGCCGTCAATCCATCGATAACTTTCAGATCTGCCAGGACCTTTAAAAGGATCACAGTGGTCAGAACACTCTAGCAAAAAGTGGGGAAACTCGAAAAGTTCCATAAAAATGACGCACGAACCGTCATAATAATCTATGACAGCATTAATGGCCCGAGTTTCCCTGTTTTCGCCTTCCAACCACTCTTAAACCCTGCCTTAAATCGTAAAACGATACCTGGATCCGGATGCGCCCCTGAAAACCATACGCACCAAACATTTATCTGAACCAAACATGAAAGCAGAAGCCGTTGACGATGAAGGAACCGCGGTTTTGGACGCATGTACAGAAAAAGGACTAGAAAAGTGAGGGCACGGGAAATGCATGGTTGTGAGTTTGATGTGGTGATTTAGTGGAGGTTTACTCTTCCTCTTCCTCCTCGTCCTCCTCCTCCTCTTCTTCTTCTGAAAAAAGAAAGTTAGAACTGATCAAAAGAATTCTTAAGCTCAGGTCTAGGTTAAACTTAAATCTAGGGTTTAGCTCTGACTCACCTGGCTCCTCGGCGGCGGGCTCCTCGGCGGGCACCTCCTCCTCCTTGGGCTGCTCCTCCTTCTTCTCGTCGGCGGCTTTCTTGGCGGCCTTCTGGGCCTTCCAGTCGGGCTTCTGGTCGGCCTTCTTCTGAAAACAAATCTTTAAGGTAAGTAACGTCCACATCTCCACGAAGCCACTGCTAAAATTTTTTCAAAAAACTTTCCAAATCCTTGAAAAGATGCTTCGAAACAGAAAAAAAAGAAACAAAACCGCACCTTATTGGCCAACTGCGTGAAGACGTTCTCCTTCTTGACGGTCTTTAGCTCCTTGCGGAAGTCAGCCTAAAAATTACTGCTCAGAAGTTTCCAAACTGCACTTACTTGTCCCTCGGTCTTCTTGATCTCGGCGAGCTTCTTGAAACGGTTGTCATACTTCGACACCTTCTTAAGGGTGGGCTTGACGCTGCAAAAATCGTAATAGATGTCAAGCGGTAACTTAGGTACTATCAATATTCGAGATATAAAGATACATCTGAAAAATAAACTTAATGGCCTTAGAATACTCACAATTTGCCTCGGAGATCGTTGACGTTGATCGTCAGCTCGTTGATCTCGGCCTCGGCGGATTGGACGATCTACAAATTTCGGGTTTAATGCTAATTTTGATCTTCTAAGACGTCGAGCAAGTATAGTAAGCTTCCCGTAACAAAATGGAGCCCACAACTCTCAGCTGCCAACCCAAGTTACCCGCAGAAAACTTTTGTTTTGGGTCCAGGTGATTGGGCGGGTGGCTGCCAAGATTGACAGCTGACTACCGGGGAACTGGTTTTGGGTCAGCTGGATAAAAATGGCAGGGAGAGGGAAAAGTTCCCTATTTTAAGCAGCTAGCCCCAAAAATCTTCAGAAAATATCAAAATTTAACACAGTAGTTGGAAATTAAGAATCTCTATGAATCATGCAAAATGTTTGAATTTTCTTTGTCTGAAAGCCCTAAGGTTTTCGTTTGTGGCGAGCGAAAACGAATGCTAGAAGCCTGAGTGTTTGAGAGGCTTGGAGGATGAGCGAGAGAGCAATAGAAATAACGAGAAAGATAGAGACAGAGAGACAGAGAGAAGATTCCAAGTTCAACATACCTGAAGGATGTCGTACTTCTCCTCTTCCAGCTTGGTCAATCGGGAGAACAGCTCGTTGTAGTACTTCTCGAGCGTGGCTGAAAATCACGATACAAGCTTAAATAGTAGGTATTAAAAAAATCTTCTATAACCCGAAATTCGATTTTTAAAGTGAAAGCTTGAAAAAATACCGTGATCGTCGGTGCCGTCGATGTTGGGGAGGGAGACCGTGCGTTCGGCGAGGAACTGAAATCCAAAAATAAATTTGTTCATAACCAAAATTGCTGAAACACATCTCTCCATTCCTTTAAATCCCAAAATTGTTTTTCCTACCTTTTGTCGCTCCTGCTCCTTCTTCAACTGCTGCTGCTTGAGGTCCTCGGCCGCCTTGGTCATGAGCAATTTCTAAAACAATGGTTGAGGTTGGGATCTCTCTCTCTCTCTCTCTCTCTCTCTCTCTCTCTCTCTCTCTCTATCTCTCTCTCCATACCCTGAGCTTCTTCTTCCTTTCCGGAGTCAAGAAACCCTGCTTCTTCTTCTTGCCGGCCTTGCCGGACTCCTCGAGCCGCTTGCGCACCTCGGCCTTCTTCTGTTCGCGCTCCTGGGCCTTGCGCTGGGCCTCCTGAAAATTGGCATGCCGTGCTAAATAGAGATTTTCAGTAAGTATCAAGAATTTTCCTAGCTTTAAGACTTACAGACTCCTCCTCGCCCTGGGCGCCGCCATACCGGGTCTCTGGTTCGAAATCCATCGTTGGAGGAGGACAAACTACCTGAAAGACGTCGATGGTCGAAGTAAACATCCATAAAATAAATAGCAAAAAGAAAGGTTTTCCGATATAAACGCTCGTTCAATGATAATAGGAAATTAGGGAACACGCATTTACAAATTTTATAAAATTCCACGTTTCTGCAATAATTTGACGACGAAAGAAAACGGAGTTGAAGACATAGTGGAAAATCTAAAGAAAAAACTAAGGCAAGAAAACAGAGTTGTAAATAGGAATAGCAAAAAAAAATATCGAAAAGAGCGTTGAAGACCGTTTTAGAAAATCGCGGCGAATCCTGGCTTTAATTGGAGGTTGAGGCAAGATTTGATTTGTTCAAAGCTGAAAAGCATTATATTCGGGTAAAAGGACGCCTTGGATTCGCTGGAAACTCGAGTAAAATGTTTTCGTTACTATCGTGTCGATATTGGGGCCAACAACCCACCCGGCCACTCGGATATCTGCATACCCCCTGGGCCATTCCCCCCCCCCCGCCCGGGTGACGCGCGTAGTGTAAAACGTGATCGGGTACTCTGAGGGTGGGGGTTTTCGATCGTCTGAGTGGCGGGAAAATGATTGGAGGTCCAAATTCCATCGAATTCACGTTAATTAGGAGGGATTACCTAATCGGTAAAATATTTTTAAAACACCACAGACGGGCATTTAAAGTTACCGGGAATGTAAAGCTAGACCCTACCGCTGGGTGCCGACACCTTGCGACGCTGCTCCATTAATGTTCGTGCTGGGGTAGTGCAATGCGAGGAATTACCCAATGAGGGACCTTTTTTTCTGATGAACATCGACATTCAGATGGACAACGTGAAAATTCGGAAAGTTTGAGTTCAAGAACTAATTAAAAATTGGAAATCGGTGTCCAGATCGATCAGTATGTGGTAAATTCGCTTAAGGATCTCACGTTAATGATTTTGCCATAAAGAGTGCCCTTAAAACCGAGGAAATTACAAAATTGTACAGTTGACACTGCAGGCGGATCAGAATAGTTGCTAGGTTGGTGCCGGCACAATGACCGTCAGAGGCTTAAGAGATGGCGCTACAGTAAGCCGAAAATCAAAAACCCGCCATAGCGAAGGTATCGTTGGGAGCGAAGAAGTCATGTCATTAGCGGAAGCGTGAGTGAGGTATCAGACGCTCAAAGCGCCCTTTTAGGCATAAAAGCAGCCTAAGCATAGGCCCTTTTAGCATCCGTCTATTAAAATTACGCCTAGATACCAGACGAAAAAGATAAACACAGGCTTAATTTGGCACTAGAAACGATGATTCTCAAGCTCGAACGTGCGTTTTAATGAAACAAAATCAGCAAGCTGGTCCTAAAAATCGAGCTGGAGTGTAAGCCTGTTGTTGCGATAGCTAGCCCGGTCCTCCCTGGTCTTGGGGGCACACAAGAGCCACCTTGTGTTTCTTTTTTGATCGAATTTTTGATCGTCCTCCACTCCCTCGCCCACCCTGGGGGCACTTTCAGCTCCGCCCACTTTTATTTCGAGGAGGTGTGTGCGTATGTAAGGGCGAGGGACTCTGGCCCCTTAAATTAATGGAGACAAAAGCTGGGAGGCGAGTGAGAGAGAGAACAAGCGAGAGCAAGCGAGAGCGAGCAAGAGAGAGCGAGAGAGATAGAGAGAGAGAATGAGGAGAGATAAACAGAAAGCTTTGGTTGGGGGTTGGTATCAGCGGTTACTCGGTTGGGGTGAGAAACAAGTTGATTGGCAGCGATTGGCAGCCGGAATTGGGCCAGAAAAAGTAGATCACTGACCCATGAACGAGGCTAAAGGCCCGTGGAACCCGATTTCGAAGGAATAGAATCGTGTCAGGCGCGGTTCCAAGTTGATAACTGCTCTACAAGTTAAAGAATGCAGGAGGAAACATGAGTTACGAAAATTTTAAAAAATGAAATTTTTGAGGATGAAATTATAAAGTCTCGAAGTCTCGACGATGCAGTCAGGAGCAATCATGAACTGGCAACATCACTTTCACTTTTTCACTTTTTCTCTGCCCTCTCGCTCAGGTAAAAAATTGTTTTGAACCTTGTTTCAACCTAGTTTTGTACGCAGATTCCTAGAGCCATAGTATGGCTCACTCTGAGGCAAGCTCCTCCGAAAAAAGCCTTCGAGGTCTGCTCTCCATGCGTGGTCAGCTCAGGTCCCTAAGTTTATCAATCCCCCTAAAATCTCGTATCCATTCTTCCCAAGTTTCCGAGTCGTTTCCCAATCCACAACCCCAAGACTGACCCCAAGGTTTGTCCAGAATACCAAATGAAGCGGCGTTACGCGCGGGTAGCCGACTGCCAGGCAGCAACTCTCGGGTTACAATCACCGAATCAGAAGGCGCGCGCCATGTACACCCGGATAATTGGGTACCTTGCTGGAGTATCGCCCGAGTCCCGCCGGCATTCCCTTACAATTCGTCATTCCCTGACCCCCGTACTGCGTGCTTCTTGAGATTACGGTGGCATGGGTCCGTTTTTAGCTTTTTCTTAAAACTTTCAGCTATCCTTCTAGTTCGCTCGACAAATACCGAAGCACTATGCGAGATTTGTGGAGACCGAAGTTACGGTCGTCACTATGGATTGTGGACGTGTGATGGGTGTTCGTGTTTCTTTAAGAGAAGGTAAGTCTTTGATTCTATAGTATACTGTAAGCTAGCTCAACAATGACAGTATGTTTGAAAACTAAATTTGTTTTTGAAATTCGCATCTTCGTAAGTTTCTGTATTTTTGTACATTATGATAACCACACTGTACTTTGAAGACTATGAAGTGTTTCGTAACACTCACTTCCTTTTTCAAGTTATAACATTAATATTAGGTTGGAACATAAGTTCGCGCAATCGAACTTTGGAAATTTCTTTCTGAAAATTTAGTGGCCAGATTCCGATGGGCCTCTTCGCATTTATCTATTGGGTTCATGAGTATGTGGGACCAAAATTACAGGTTTTTTTAGCCCCAGTAGTTTTTAAGATTTTTGCGTTTCTCTCGAGGGCACTTCAAATTTTTGACCCGGACATCTTTCCAAACCGCCATAAAGTCACGATAAGAACTGATCATCACTATGATAATAAGTTATATCTATCGGCTGCATGCCGAATTAGCCTAAAAAGGAAGCAAATTTTGTTTTGTAAAGGCGGGCCGAAGCGATTTTTCATTTTCGCTTAAATCTAGCTTTAAAAAATTCTAATAGGGAAGCAACGCGATTCCGTCCCACACATCGAATAGAGCATTTTATTGCATATCCGGTCATCCAAAAAACATTTTGGTTCTTGCCCGTTTTCCGGTCCGAAAATTACAAAGAAAAGAAAAATATTGCGCGAACTTTAGTTCCAACCTAATAGCTACACCATTTTCAGTGTCCGCAAGAAGATGGAGTACAAATGTATCAGTAAGTTTTTTTCATCGAACTCGATATTAGCAGCTTAGGCCGGCTTAGGGTTAGGCTTAGACGTCGGCTTGGCTTGAAGCTTAAGCTTAGGCTTAGGAATAGAATTCAAATTACTATTCCAGCGGGCTTGAACGCTTGCGCTATCGACCGTACTCGTCGGAACTGGTGTCCAGCTTGTCGATTGGCTAAATGCCGACTTTTGAATATGAATGCTGAGGGTAACGTTGCAAGTATTTATGTTCTTACGGCTCTAATTCCAGCTGTTCAATCAGAACGTGGCCCTAGGAAGCCGCCAAAGCGATTAGATACTGTTCTTGGGATCCCGAGAAATCGGGTGGCCCACAACATTTCTGAATCCGAGTCGACAGCTTCATCCTCGAAAGATATGGAAGAGAAGGAGACCAATATTGGTAGGAACTGGTTTTGCATCTCTCCTGCTCGTCGCTATCTCCCTGTCTCTCTCTCTCTCTCACTCTCTCCTCTCTCCTCATTTGGAATTTCAGCACCTTCAATCTATCGAGTTGCCCTCAGCAGCGCGTGGGCGAGCTCCATCTTGGCATTTTCGAGGTTGGAGGTGAAGACGGAAGGTATTTATTGTATTTTTAGGTGATTACCTACGACATTCCAGTTTTGACCAGATTCCACAAACAAATCGCTCTCCTCTTCTGTGCCGCCAATAAAAACATATGGGATCAGAGTGTACGTCAATTTTCATAGGTCAAAGACGAAGTTCCAGCTAGGACTTAGGCTTAGGTCGGGCTTAGGCTTGGGCTTACGCTTATCTTACTTAAGGTTAGACTTAGGATTGAGCTTGGTTTCGAAACATTCAAAATTCAGAACATCACGCTAGAACTGGAGCCGTTAGACCTTGATAGCGAAGAGCTGCGACTTGGGCTCTGTTACCTGTTATGCCTTCTAGGTAAGCCTTGCTTATTTTTTCTTTACGTATCGTAGCGTACTTGAGCCTACCGCTACGCTTTGTACTTTATTTTTTTAGGCCGATCCGGCCCTATATTGGGCTTCGCCTATCCGCTTGCCGGATGGTACAAGTCCTGGCTCCAAGTGCACTGCGTGAAAGCTGGGCAGCCGGATAGAGCATTGAAAATTTCCGAGTTGGTCGAGAGGGTGCTTGATGGGAGTTATACGGTATTGTACTTAATGTGCTCGTTTGAAAATTTTGTAGAACAACCTTCGGTTCGAGGCAGATTTTGGGAAGCTGATTCAAGAGTTTCGAAACCAGATTTGAGTGAAAACGATGGTGATTGCTGTCGTAACTGGATGCAAATTTGAAGCAGATAAATATATTGGCTTGGCCTTGATAATATCCATTTTATCTACTATTTTTAACGTCATAAAAATACCTTGTCCATTTTCATCTCGTCAATGCAAATTTAATGTGGAAATTGGATAGAGATTCTCTGAAGAAGATAATGAATTTTGCCCTTTAGATAATTTTGGAAATTAAAACTGTGATTTTGTACATTTTCATACATTTATTATCTTCCAAAATTTTCATTTTTCACCTCTTTAAGTACCGGAAAAGAGGTAGGCTTAGTGTCCTCTTGTCCATAGATAAATGGATAGTCCTCTTCGTCCTTTTTCTGGGTTTTCTGACTTCTTCGATCTGCATAAAATTCATCTGGGGCTTGATAGTACCTCTAAAAACCTCTTAGGTTATTTTCCAAGTCCAAATTAACCTGATTCCTTTGCTGCCCCACTTCCGCTTCACTTTTCTCAACTTTGCACGAGCATAGGCATTGACCATTGATGATTTCACCTAGATTTTTACAGCGCAATTGAATATACCTACCATTTCTAATCTCCGTGGCTTCCCTGTTTTGCCCATTTAAGGTATCCTTAATACCAAAAATTGATGCGGCATCGGCGGAGAGTCCGGTAGTCAATCCCTCGCTCCGTGTGGCTATACCAAGATTATTAAATTCTGGAAAGAACGAATTACGGGCTCTTCTCGGGTAGTTTTCTGGTGACTGAATCGGCTGGCCTCTGGCCGGAAGTGGAGGGCTTTCGCGGCTTACACAGCTCAGCATGGCTTGCTAAAATTAAGCAACTAATATTACCGTTTGAATAACGCTTGCAGAACTAGTAGTCAAGGTGCTAAATCAATTTGGTATAGATTTTATATGTTCAAACATAAGAACCTACCACGATCTGCTTGTCAAAGTTGTCCCTGGCCTGACAGAGGCAACCCCGTAGCGTTCCGGAATCCGTTCGCTGGCAGATCGTACGGGTTCGTACCCTAAAATACGCCAACATCATTTTGAAACCTCGGTAAATTAGTAAATTATGAAACTTAAAATGTGGCGCTATAGCAGTAAGGTACGGCTAGATGTCAACGGGTGGGTGTTATACTAAGTAGCGGTTAAATCAATAAGGAATGGAAGTTATTTCCGCATCAATAAATCGCTCTTATAATCTGGTAAGATACAGTAAACTTACTGCTGTATGCATTGGCGCATTATGTAGTCCCTTTGAGCGATCAGTTGCTGGAAGTCCTGACTCGTTTCCAAGGCATTACGATAACACATCACTTCGTAGTCTTCCACTGTGCAAGAGGAGGCTAGATTGTTTCTAAAAACTTTGTAAAAACATAGGTATTTGATTTCCAGGCAATAATTATTATAAACAATCAAATTATAAAGGTCTAGAACCACCAATCAAGAAATGTTATAAAAATTTGTATTGCGGTAATATTTTCTTACAATTTTGGATCCAGCGATCCGACAAGTCGACCGATGCCACTTCCAAAAATCCGAAGCGCCGATTCCTTAAAAAATAAGCTATAGAATTTATAAAACCTTTAAATTGTCTGCTTTGAATTTATTAGCAGGTTAAATTTATTACCCTCTCCATACAAGCAACCCCAGAATCCAGTGCACTTTGAGTTCCTTCGCTCAATCCCCATAACCTATCCGTCATCTCCGTGGAGTAGACGATTTTTGCGTAGATGGCATCGACTAATTTTTGTCTTTTAGATACGTTTTGAATGTAAAGTACCATCAATATAATATTGATCATGCGCTGAATTCATGGCCATTAAGGGGTTCCGAAGAAAACAGGAATCTACGGTCGCCCGATATCGATTTGCGGCCTCGGAGAAGTTGTCATACGCTGAAATTGGCTATTCGATAGAGGGGGGGGGGGAGAGAGAGAGAGAGAGAGAGAGAGAGAGAGGTGAGTTTATAGTCCTTACTTTCCAAATCCCCATTAAAAGGCGCTCGGACAGCGCGCAACGATTCTCGAAAGCATCGATTATACGCTATTCTTTCTTCATGGCACCTTAAAAATCCAGAAGCTAAATATTATTTGGCATTTTCCTACGCTGGTCGCTTAAAGCACTGCTGAAAGGCGGCGTCCTTAATTTGCATAATGTCCTTTTCGTATTCTTCGATAGCTACTGCACATCGCTGGATCTGATCGGCGCAGTAGAATTGAGCGTGGATCTGGAATAGACAAATTTTAAGGTAATCTTTGGAAGACGATATAGTGTTTACGTCTATCCACTTACGCAATCAAATCCGCAAACCAGCGTAATCAATAGTCGAAGCAATCCGAATTTCATGTTGTGTAGAAGCCGAGGAAGTGGAGACCTAGTTTCGATATTTGCATAATGGTCTGCTAGCCCTCCCCGCTCCTCCTTCCTGTTGCCCTCCTTTTTTAGGATTCGAGTGTCTGTCGCGCCGGTTCTATACAAACGACCAGATGTAGGTGTCAGGGGAGCATTGTGTAGCAGGGCCTTGAACTTGGCTAGCTACTTGAGAGGTTTGGATACGTCATAACTTGAAGCGGTTAGTCGACCGATTTTCATGCTTACTGTTGCTGTCTCTCTTCATCACTTTCACTCTCTCGCACTCTCTTTCTTTTTCTGTCTCTCTCTCGCTCTCTCGCTCACTTTCTCTTTTCTTTTTAACATCTCCAAAAATCCATTTATTGAGCAAAAATTCAGTACAAAAGGGGAAGGCAATTTCGAATAGGTGGGTCAATTCTAGGGAGGCGGGGTGAAGAACACTTTAATGAAGACAAGAAGGGAGATGACGACGGCTTGCACCGTCGGCATGAGTGCGTGGTTAACCGTCTGGGTTACTGTAGAGTGGAGTGGGGCTGAAAAAGGCGTGCGGTAACTCTCGAATTTTGTGGAATTTGACGCAAACCCTAGCTAATGCTTTTACTGCCCCTACAACAATTTAAACGTTTTTTGAAGCTCATTTTAATTAGAGCCGGATAATTTTTGATGTATCGATTACGCTACACTACACTCGACACTACTGTCTAATATAAGGGACAAATATTAAGTGTTACGCACCCTTCAAAACCCACGCTTGTTTGTTTCAAAATTGCTGCGTATCGTCAAGGGGTGGGGGAACGGGCAACGGATCGGAGGCGGTTACAGAAGGTCCCGGCAGTCCGGAACCGAAGAGGGGCTTCTCCTGAAGATCGCAATAATATTTCCCTTACTTATCCATTACGACCAATATGCCCAAAAAAGCGTCAATTTAGAGGCTACATTGCAGCAGTCATCACTCAAAAACTCTAAAATTTCTTAAAGGGACAAACAAGACAAAAAGAGCCGTATGTGTGGCTTTCGATTGCGTAACTGATTAAGAAGCCCTTAGATTGGATACGCGGTCGTGTTGCGATGCGACAACAAGTGAAAATCCATGATTATGCCTTGCATTTATTTTTAAAGGGGCCGGAAAACCAATACCTAGCCCTTTCCTCCCGCTAAAAAAGCCTCGCAAACATGCGTATGGTCATAAAAAGTTACACAGCTACTCAAACCAACCGGTTGTTAGGCCAAACCTAGATGAAAAATCATTTTAGTCGGCTATTCACAACCCAAAGTCAAATTTAAGCTGAATTTTCCAAGTTAAGACATTTTTAGGGCGTTATAATCGCCAGAAACAAATTCTAACTAGAAGCTTACGTGCGTGTAGGTGAGTGGGGGCGCCGTGTTGAAGGGTGCTCGCTCGGCGCGAGCCATTGAGGGCCTAAAACTGAATTCCAAGCTCCTTTAACGTTTCGATACCTATGCGGACTGTCGACACCCTCCAGCTTGCCGTACTTGTTCTTCTGGGCCACCTGGTAATACTGGGGTTAGGGTTAGGAGGTGTTGTTTAGGGGAAGAAGTTGGCTTACCTGGTAGGCGATCAGGGCGATCAGGGCAACGGATAGGAGGATGCAAAGGGCCAACAGCACCCAGGCGACAGTTTCCCAGGCTGAAGCTCCGGTAAGGCTAAAAATTGTAAGGTTTGATAACTCAAATTTTGATGGTACCACCCCTTTAAAAATTTAGAACAATTACGACTTAAAAATTCCTCCTTTAAAATCCTACGTCTCCAGAAGTGTAGCCTTGTATTCAGGGGACACAACTTTGGTCTCGGTCTCGGTGTCGGTCGTTTTCTTCACTACTACTGGGAGGGCCATCTTCGGGTGTTTCAGTTTGCCCTTGATCTCGTCCTCCACCATTTTTTGAAGTTCCTAGAATATTAGAGGTTGGTCGAGGTAAGCTAGCAGGGATTATTTAGGAGGCCTCGAAGGTGGCTAGACTTGCCAATATTCCTTAAGTCCTCTGAAGCCTACCTTGTCGAGCTTCTTCTCAAGCTTTTGCTCCAACGACTCGGTCAACACCTCCTTCAAGACTTCCTTGGCCGCGCCGTGTCCGTCTTGCTGAAATGGTACCGATTGATGGAGAATATGCCATTTTAGACCTTGTATTGATAGCGCTTCTCCATGAACGCCTTCAGATCGGCTCCAAGTCGTTCGCCATCAGCCTTCAGCTCGTTGCCTTGGGTCTAAAAATCAATTATTTGCTGTATTTTTGACGCCTACTTACCTCAAGTTGGTTGTAGATGGTGGCCAGCTTGTCCTTGAGGGCCTGACGGCGCTCCTCGATGGCGGCATCGCTAGAGAAACGTGCATTTTAGAGGGACATGTAAGGAACGACTAGAGATTTTTGGACATAGATTCCATTACGCGATGAAATGTGGTGGACAAGGCATAATTTATCGTCAGGCTTTACCCGTCCCTTTAAATTTCAAAATTCTCCATTTATTTTTACTCACCTAGCAGCCTTGTGGTTACGGTAGAGTTCGTCGACTTGCTGCAGGTACGCGCCGATTTCCTAGAAACATCGATCGTTTCAAGGTACAATAAAATGTTTTGCAAAGCGATTTAAAGTAACTTTCACAAGCTTAAGGATAGATCTTGTGGAGGGCAAAATTCTACATCTCTTGAGATTAGTTTTTCGCTTATCATTAATAGCCCAAAAACTCACAGCCATGTTCTCCTTGGCCTGCGCCACCTTGGACTCGATCGAGGCATTGACAATCTGCTTGAACTCGTTGTACTTGTCGGCGATGGCTTGGCGCTAAAAAAGCTGATGTCAAACATTAGTTTTTACACAAACCTGGGCGGCCTTGGCGTCAAGGTAGGCTTGTTGGTACTCCTTGGCGGCCTGGACGGCTTGCTAAAAGATTACGGGATCATGAAAATCAGTAATTTACCTACCATATAGACCTTCTCGGTCTCGGCCTTGTATCGGTCAACCATCTCCTGTTTGATCAGCTCCAGCTGGAGAGCCTTCTCCGCGTCTTTCATCATCTTGTCCTTCCAGACCTAAAAGGATAGGTGAATTCGCCGATTTTCAAAATATCTCTTTCTCTCTGTCTCTCTCTCTCTCTCTTTCTTTCTCTCTCCTACCTGCTTCACCCGAGAAGCCCACGAGCCATAAAGCTCATCCTTAGCGGCTTCAGCTTCAGAATACACCTGGTGGACCTGAGCAAGGGCCGTGTCCTCGATCGATTTAATTGCCTTAAAATTAGCTTAAAACTGAAATCCGTGACTTACTCCTAGATAGTCGTTTAGTTTCACGTCGGACAATTGCTCCTAAAATTGAAATTTGGTGACGAATTCGAAATTTCGATTACCGGCACAGATTCCGCGGCATAGCCACCAGTCGCCTGCGAATTTACAAGATATAAAACTGGTAAAAGGAGTAGAAGGGCTCTCATCTAAAAATCTTACCTTAAAGGGAAAATTTTCGTTAGAATAAAAGCGGAAAACATCAAATTAATTGCCCGAAAAGTCGAGGTAAGCTTGGTCCTAGGCTTAAGCTTAGGCTTAGGCTTTGTCTTACTGTAACCCTCTTATGGTCGAAGTGGAAATTCGTTTCGTGAGATAGCACACCTTGTGCAGAATTTTTCGCTGATTCCGAATCATCCGTTTTCAAAAGTTGCGGAACCCCTTAGACTAAAAAGTTACAAACGTTTTTATTACCCAAAATGCCAAAAATCGCTTACTTTAAAGTGTTATAAAAATTTCGTAAAATACTTTTGCAGGGCGAGTAAGGCGTTCTCCGGGGTAAAAAAACGTGCTCTTTCGAATGGGCTACCTCACGAACCCGTAGCTCGAAATTTCGAAAATTTCGAAAATCGGCCATCTTGGGCATGGGTCCACCGAAAAAACTTTTTTGCAAATTTTGACCTACGGGTTCGTGAGGTAGCCCATTCGAATGAGCACGTTTTTTTACCCCGGAGAACGCCTTACTCGCCCTGCAAAAGTATTTTACGAAATTTTTAGAACACTTTAAAGTAAGCGATTTTTGGCATTTTGGGTATTAAAAACGTTTGTAACTTTTTAGTCTAAGGGGTTCCGCAACTTTTGAAAACGGATTCGGAATCAGCAAAAAATTCTGCACAAGATGTGCTATCTCACGAAACGAATTTCCACTTCGACCATAAGAGGGTTACAGTTAGGCTGGACTTTGGCTTCCGCTTAGCCTTTAGGCTTAGGCTCAGCGTCACTAACTACAACCCTTTTCAAAATACCAAAAATTCAATATCGCTCCCTAAACAAGCCGACTCAGTCAAAATATGCACTGATAATGAGCGAGAGCACTTGTTTACTGCGTCTTGTCGACAAATCGAAATGAGCCGCCAAAATAGACACCAGAAGCTAGATACGGAAATGTGGGTGGCGGGCAGGTGTTGAATTGAATTGTCTGATTGAAAGGATTGGGTTTTATTGAGGCTCTTTTGACAAGCTGAACAGTGCAATAATCCGTAAAGGTAAAATTTTACCGGCATTAACTTGCGATAGAGAAATACGTCTAAGTTTTAACTTCTGCAAAGCTTGAACGCGGGGCATAATTATGAGGAAACTTCCGAAACGCGAAGTTAAAACTCGCTTAGCGACATAGCCTATCAGATGCCGTTTTTCAGGCTACCTTACCGGTTATATTTTTGTCCGGATTGCCGTAAAAATATTAAAACAACTTAAGAGCTTGGAAATGTTTGCATAGGATGTAGGAATTGTTAAGCCAGAATTATTGCACGCTTTGACTTTTTTTATTATCGTACATCCGGTTCGCAAATTTTGTTCATTGTGCCACTGCGGCTACTGTACCAAATCGATCAACGGCTTCGGTATCTCAGAGCAAAAGCAAAGAACCGAAATTGCGCCGGATTGGGTCGCCGAGGCATGGCTTTTCGTGCGAAAGATGTTTTTGTTAGGAATTTCGGTACGGTAGCTTCAGAACTAGCGAATTTTGCTAAATAATTTTTCCTAAATTTTCCAAGACTTATTTAGCTGGAGATTTGTATAAAAAGCGTCTCTAGCGGCGATAGATGCGAAATTAGAATCAGCAATTTAACAAAAAATGGAACGCCAAAGAGTCTGAAACGCAAGCTATGATTAGTGCGACATCAATGGCAAATACAGTAACTGGAAGTTTGCCAGACGAAGGATGGTTGAATTCGATCAAAATCATAATAATTAGACAACCACGTGCGGCTTGTCTGACAGCCAGCCCAGAAATTGGTTGTTTAGGCTTTGTGTTGTCAATAGGCTCCTTCCCATCCGAGGGCCTCCGCTTCATTTCCATGAGTCTCGTGAAGGGATGGATGGGCCTTATCAAATTGTGGTGTGTAGCGTCCCGCTACGGGAGGATGCTTCTTCACCCATCAAATGGCCCTCCTTCCCCGGCCTTATGTTTGGGGGTTCTTCGAAAACACGTGCCTTCCGCTCGCCACACTGCCTCCGGGGGACATCAGATTTACGACACCTTACTATTGACGAACATGGGGAGGGGAGGGGGTTGATATGGTATGCAAATGAAGAGCCTTAAAAAGGGGTTGACTTACGTAATTCAGAAATTTTTGGTAAACGACAAAATGACGCTGATTATTTTCGTGACTGGGTGAGCCCGGAGGTAGTTTACATGGCATATTTGTTAAGCACTTAATCGGGCTCGAGGGAATTGCGTAACAAGCCGAAATTCCTGAGAACAGTGTTTTGGAATTGTAACGTGATCATGATTTCCATTTTCCCTATCTGTCTCCCTCGCTCTCCTCTCTTTCCCGCTCTCTCACTCTCACCCTCGCCCACTCAACCTTACTCCCAAACTCATTCTCACTATGTCTCCCAAGCAAGCTCCTAGAATTTTGCTACGACTAAAAATTTCTCCAAAAAACTTGGATTAAGCAAGGCTTGAGGGCATGCTAGCGGAAATTCTGCGCGAGACAATTTGAAACAAAATGAGGAGATGCTAGCGCAAGATCAGAGGGAGAGCGAGAGAGATAGAGAGAGAGGAGAGGGCAAGAGAGAGAGGGAGGGAGAAAGGGGGAACGTGAAACAATCGGTAGCCGCGGGGACGCTAGCAGAGATCCTTTGGGCGATGTGGGAGCAGATAGAAGTTAATTCGCTACTTAGGGGAACCTGATACTTGGCCAAACCATAAGTTTATGCATTCCCTGATACTGAATTCTAAGCATCAGCAAGCAGCAATCATTTAGGTATTTGGGGCCAAAATTGGTGGCTTTCGAGATATGGTAGCTGCTCAACTTGTAGGTGTTTCTAGACCGTTGCGACATTAAATTTTTGGGGTCAGCAACAACTTTGTGACAAGGCTGAGGCTTTGGCCAACGAACGTCGAACTTCAGAATACATTTTCCAAAATCACTTCCAAACGCGACGATCTTTCGAGAATTCTCGGCTGCCACCTGTTTATTATCTACACGCCGGCAACGCCGGGGGCAAAGGCTCAACAACAAAAAATAGTTCTGGTGCCCGGCGATAAGAGATGCGGAAGCCGGGTCGATACCATCAGGGAAGGGGGGTCCAGCGCACTTTTCGGCTCCTACATTTCATGCTTTATCTACGTCCGGGGGCCACGGTACCCGGCAGCTGATCGTGGTCACACACTACGCTCACAGACTATAAATAAAATAATGGTTTGAAAAATGTTATTAAAGCCGTTATAGCGTTTTAAATGAACCAAGAAGTCGTATATACCTGTAAAGAATTCGAGAATGCCTTAAAATAACCTGTTAGCGGCTATTTGTGCAGTGTACGGTATTTGTCAATGGGACGGCAAGCTGCAAAATTTCGGTCGGAAATTCCGTGAGAGCAGACGTTCATAAGCCTCAGAAATACTTTGAAGCCTGGTGCCAGCCTAATTTTAGCTCTATTCAGAGAGCAGTGTGCACTCCCAAAAAGGACTGATGACGACCAAATGGGCCACCTAATAACATAAGCTCTCAAAAAATAAGTCCCATTTCATGTCGTGTATGGCTGCCATTAGTGAATTGGCTGCAAATGTCATTAGCGCATACATACACATACATCAAAAATGAAGCTAAAAATGAAATATCATTCAGTGCAGCCAAAATTAAAGACTAAACGGATCTTCGAAAATTCCCAGTCCGAACTTCCGGCCTTATTCGGCTTCGTTTAGGGTCAGTCTTATGCTTATGTTAGGCTTAGGCTCAGGCTTGATCAGAGTCCTAGTTTAGAAAAATTCCATTTCCGGCCAACTCCCAAACTGGCACCGGACACTTTTGGAACGTGTGTTTTTTGGGGGCTGACCCTCAAGCCAGAAGTGCCAGAAGTGGTCCCCGGGAGTGAGGGATCTTTTGTGGGAGTTGACGCATTTCCGCTTTGCTCCCAAATGCACAACCCCCCGACCGGGGAGTCCATAACAATGTCCGCTGCTGGAAATCGGGATCATGCTTGGTCAGTGGGGTATTTTGGGAGCAGCTAGCAGTTGCAAAGTTGAGCTTGAGCATGTTACGGTATCCATTTCATCTTCAGTTAATTTTAGGGATGCAAAGTGCAAAGCTTTACTATGAACGAAGAGTTGAAGAATTTGAAGAGTAGCGTCCCGTAGACCCAGATTCTAAGACATCAAGCTCTGACGAAAAGCTGATTTCTGGCATTGCTCGTCACTTCCCCGAAAATACGCACATGTTCTCCAGCGGCCACAAAATTCGATTCCCCACGTCCAGAAGTGGGTTAGTGCGCTTCGTGGAGTTTGACGTGTGTTGTTTGCCCCAAAGCAAGAAAAAAATTAAAAAACCAGATTTAGGCTCAGGCCTAGGTTAGGCTTATGTTTAGGCTTAGGCTAAGGCTTAGGCGTAGGATTAGGCTTAGAAATAGACTTAGAAAAAAAATTATTTAGAAAATTTCCAGCATTAAAATGTTGCCTTCCTCAACGTAACGTCAACTTTATTTTCCCGTCCTCCAAATTCAAATACAAAACACAAAAAAAAACAGAATTCAATAATCAACATCGAGGGTATCAGAATATCGATGGCCAGAAGAGGAGCGCCTTCTCTCAATGCCCTTCCAGGATAGGCTTCTTGTAGTCGGCCTTTCGTTGGCAAAATTCTTAAGTCGATGCGAGGCCGAAGAGGCTGCCCCTGCCGAGATGAACGTCTCGGTGACGAAGCTACCGTACTGTATCACTCGGTCTTTGTCCATCCACTTCGAGTCAATCCGTCTAAAATGAGCTTAGTCAGCGAGAGAGCAAGAGAGTTATATAGAGGGAAGAGAGACAGATAGAAAAAGACAGAGAGAGCGAGAGGGCGAGATAGAGAGAGACAAAGATAGAAATAAAAACCGCCTACCTGATGTCGTGAATCGTATGCGCTCCGGGCTGTCGACTGTACAACGTCCTGATCTTGAAACCGATCGCTTTCCATTGCTAAAAAAATTACACTTTTGTCGTTCAAAA